TGCTTGAACGGCTCCAGAGAATTCGCCGCTTTTATCGGGCTTTAATTCGGTCATGAATGCCGGATGCTGGTCAATCTCTCTGCACCATTCATCAAAATCAAATGCTTTCTTTTCGTTATTGCGATTTTTCTACAAAACAATAATAATAAACATCCGATATATTTTTTCACTCTGCCATAATCAATCCAAGAAATTTCGATTTGTGGGACAACCAAGGCCACCAAGAATATCGGAACATCAGCGTGAATCTCTTAGCGTCATCTTAAAAAAGATGCAACAAAAGATCTCGTGAATTTTCGTTTTTGCAGCGATGTGGACCATCGCCCTAATGATCAGTGTGGATCATCTATTTGCTGAGATCAAGTAGTACCAAGAACTGTCCTCACCAGCTGTTCCTGCCAAATTTACATCCATAAAGCGTCGAAATTTTGCTTAATTTCTGTTTCAATTTAGAATTTAATGTTCTCCTCAATTTGCAGAAATTACCTCAGTGATCGACTCCTTTTCCGACACTACAAAGCACAAATATTCTCTGCCGGATGAATAAAGCCGAGAGCAATTACTTATCCCAATTAAGAGATTTACTATCCATAACAGCCAAACCAATATCTTACGTCCTATTCAAATAGCGAATAGAAAGGCACGCTGATGCACTATTTTGGCAAGCTAAATAACAGAATAGGAGATAAGAGGTCAGCTTTAGTATTACGTGCAAGAAGCCATGTTTGGATGCAGCCTGTGTTTCATCCCTTAGCTGTAAACACTGATCGAATGCAGCATGCGAGTGGGTGTGGCCTATTTAATTTGCTCCGCCTCCTTCCGCGTCTACCAGCACAGCCGTATTCAGATTACCAAAAATACCAAGAAGCACGGACAGTTATTGCGAAATCTAATGTCAGCGATGTTACTGCGATGTTCCCACATACCGAATGTAGTTTCCAGATCCTTCGATCCTGAGCTTCACACCATCCAGTTAGTACCCCCTGTCTGTTCGATGTATGTGCACCATTTTTTCGTAGATCGTCACCGGTTTTTTTGAATTACTTTCAAAAGTTTCCCGAAAAAACACCTCTAAATGCCAGATGGATGAAAATGATACCTGTTCGGCAAGATTTTCCACAAATCGATCCAGGTCATCATCCAACTTCTTGGCCAGTTCGGCTCGCTCAGCATCACTTAATCGTCCATTCCTTTTTGCAGTTGAACCCATTTCGATACAAGAAAAATGTATGTTATGAGAAACTGTACAGTGTTAAAGCTGAAATCCAAAAAATTTTGAAGGAAAGCCAGTTTAAACACAGTACAATAATGAAAGATAAGAAAACGCGCGGAAAAGATTACTGGATGGTACCTGGTGCAATTTTTGTACATAGTAAGCAATTTATTTTTTTCTTACTGAAAAAACTGGCATGATGCCAAGGGATCAAACCCGCCATCAGTTTGCTTCTAAGCAACACTTGAAAGAGGGAGCCATCGACAGCCTTGCCACCAGGTAGCT